AGTCAAATTACATGATAGGCTTACTCAATATTCATTTACATATTACGTTTACCCTACTTCGTGTGGGGAAAAAAACAACTTTTAACTTACATTTGAAAAGAACACCACAAATGCAATGTATTGAGTGCGATTCATGATGTTTATCCTCAAGTCAACGCTCTGTAAGTGATGCTACTAAAATATATTAGTATATAAGTATTATTGCTGTTATTCTGTAGATATAATTCACAAATTTCAACATCGGCCTTTAGTGCGCACCGACGCCCTCCCTTTAAAACTAATGCGCGGATTACTGGCATTATAAATGCCATATATGTGATCAAGGCCCTATTACAAACATTTCCCTGAATTATAGGTCTAACCTATCAATCCTAGAATTATCAATCGTAACACATAAAACGATAAGATAAACTCCAGTAGTGTGATGGACGGCTTTCTGTTGGAGCGATTGGTACAGTGGTTGTGTTCCAAGGCTACCTTTCAATGTCCTCAGAGAACGGAGAAGGTTGCAGCAATTCCTTCTGATACTTAGGATACATTAAGACACCACAGAATGCATGTCAACGGCGGAGGAAGCGGGGGAGGGGCAGGGGACCATCCCCCACTTTTTCTAGGGGTCCCCCCACACTTTTGTGACTGTTCCCAACACCAGTGACAAACATTTTACGAACGCTGCAATGTCATCATCATCATCATTATTATTATTAGGCCTATTATTATTATCATTATTATTATTATTATTATTATTATTATTATTATTATTATTATTATTATTATTATTATTATTATTATTATTATTATTTGGTGCTTACACCTTGTTTATTTGCGCCTTATAAATTGACCATTATTATAAAATATAGCTTTTTTAAAATTTTCTAACGAACATTACAAGTTCCCTTTTTGAGTTGAGCAACCAAATGTTGATTGACGTCTGTATACGTGCGTCTGTAAAGTTGAAACCCTCTCGAGAATGAAGAAAAAATCGCCTGCATTCGTAAATTCTGTATTTAGACATATTGGGGGAGGTAGACACTCTTAATGGAGCGACGTTCTAGTTCTCTTTATGCTAACCGCGAAGATGTATAGTAAGTGTAACTGACTGGCTTACAGTCAACCTTAAAACTAGCGTAATATAACCACATTTAAACTCCATCTAATTTAACGAAAACAATAAGATACTTAATTAGGCCATTTTCTAAAATAAAGTTCTCTGAAGGTTAACTACAGAATTTACAGTACACTTAATGTGTTATAGGTTGTAAAAACTGTATTGAGTAAAAAAAAATCTTTCGAATAAAAAATCGTTCGCTTGACATTAGGAATTAATCATTTGTGAAAAAAATGATAGGCTATGTCAAGTGTTATATTGAACAGTGGCAGATTCAATGGGGAACCCAGTCAGGACGGGACATCATCCTCCTATTTTTTTCAAAATAAAAAAGTGGGGGATGGTCCCCTGCCCCTCCCCCGCTTCCTCCGCCGTTGACATGCATTCTGTGGTGTCTTAATGTAAACAAACAGACAAACTTGTATTCAATATTTAATCCGAGAGTGCCATTTCCGGCCATCTAGAGGTGCCATAATCATAATTTTTTCTTACCTGCAGCCCCAACAG